CTTCTTTTCAGAACGATTGCGTTGACTTAATGCCTTTCTTTTTTTCTGTTGGATCTCTTGTGAAGAAAAAGATTTTGACTTATTGAGATTAGATATGGTTGGGAACCGCCTGATCTCCATAGTTTGAAACATGTCGAGTAAATGCCCGCGCATTAATGATATTTCACATTTAACAAACTCTGGTTTTTCTCTGAATAATAGGGTTACTGCAAAAGCTATAGAAAAAACGGCACAGTCAACCGCGTTACACTGCGCTTGTACAGTTTTGAATCGTACTGAATTGTTCGAGACATTATAGAATAGATAGAGGTGTTGCAGAAATACCAAGTGATCATTGTATAACAAACGACTGTTCACTGAGTCATAAATATTAATGTATTGACCATCATAAAAACTACAAATCCAATGACCCTTTTTCCCGCTAATTTTCTCATCATTGCTGTATAGAATCTGGATATGTTTCTGAGTAGAAGGTATTGGTGTGATCCGCTGAGGTCTTTGTACTAATAGAGTATCTTGATGGCAATAATCTGAATATTTCGCTAATAATCGTCCTAAAAAGTGTATATGGTCCTCTGTCAGTCATTCATTATTAGAAATCATGTCCATCCGTTCAGCACGCAATGGTATCAAGCTATGATTCTTCGCATTACGAGGTTTTTTACTGGAGGGAAGGCTTGTATTACTATCATTGGATAATTCACGGATAATACGCTTCAATGGGAGTTTTTTTGCCTCACTCATATTAACATCCATCGCATTAAATATACTCTTATCTTCATTTAATATATTCTCATCAATTTTATCCCAATTACTCTTTTGATGATTCAATGGTCGATTCTCCTTGTTCACATTCAATAATATTTTTTTCTTCATGACTGGATTACTAGCGATTTGAATAGTCCGTTTCAGAGAATTCTTAGGATGCGTTGGAACCGAGATAGTTGGAAATCTGGAAATTACTCGAGTGTCAAATATTTGCAATAAATGGGTACGCATTTTCCCTACGTCATATACAATTAGTTCAGGATCATCTCCAAACGCAATAGAAACCGCGAAAGCAATAGCGAAAACGCAACAATCCCACCAATTCGGTTGCTGTTGAACTTTGCAAAATTTGATATTTATATTATCCATGGAATGCGAAGGATATAAAGATTGGAGAGACCTCCGGTGGCATTCCTTAAGCTGACATGAATTCGCAGAATCATATATAAAGATAGATTTGGTATCAAACAATGTGCAAATCCAGTGCCCACCGTGCACTTTCCAAACATCTTCATCTGATAATTCTCCACGCAAACTGTGGAGTATATGTACATGCCTCTTATGAGGATTGATTGGTTCCATAAGTTCTGGGATTGCGAATTTCCAGGAATCACGAAATTCGAATTTAAACTGTTCATGTAAGAGACGTGCGCTATAATCGATTTCGTCGTCAGACAACCATCCATCTTCTCCATTCGCTAATGTTATCCGACGATTGAAGGAAGGCATGGTGAATTAAAATGAAATTTGATATTTATTTGTTTGTTGATTTTTATTTATTTGCTGAACAAACAAGCTAGTAACTTAACTGATAACTTAAGACCAATTTTTTTCTCACACAGTTCTAAATTAGTACAATCAGTTGATTAAATTATTGTTCACTTTGTTTATTGACGTTATGGTTCGAACTTGAGAAAAGTTAACTATGATCAACTCATCAACTCAAGTATACAGCTGGAGTGTAATAACCACTGCCCTGAGTTTTCGAGAGGAGGTGAATGAAATAACTGGCATAAATGAGCTGGTAAAAGAAACAGCTTGGACGAGCTGGTAAAAGAAACAGCTTGGATGAGCTGAGGAGAGCGACAGCTTCGATGAGCTTAGCAAAAGAACAGCTTGGATGAGCTGAGGACAGAGACAGCTTAGATGAGCTGAGGACAGAGACAGCTTGGATGAGCTGAGAAAAGGAAAGGCTTGAATTAGCGGAAGAAAGAAACAGCTTCAACTAGCTGAGAATGGAGACAGCTTGGACAAGCCGAGAGAAGAGACAGCTTGGATGAGCTGAGAAAAACGACAGCTTGGATGAGCTGAGAAAAACGACAGCTTGGATGAGCTGAGGAAAGGATCCGCTGGAGTGAGCTGCTGCAGATCAGCTCTCGAGATTTGGAATGATTAGAAGAGAGAGAGTTCACGCAAAACTCAACAATATATTGATAAGAACTTATTCTATCCAATTGGGAAATTGAAAAAGCTGAATTTTGAAGGATCACTCCTGGATGAATTCTGGTAGAAAATCTGACAGCTTATTCGAAGTCAATAGGAAACAATGAAAAACCTGGCAAGAATCCTAATGATAACATATGAATCATTGGAAAAAAAAGAATAAATGATGATAATAGAGGAAAAAGAAAGAAAATCCATAATGGAAGAAAAGAAAGTGAGGAAAAAGAAAGGATAAAATAAATCATTTAACAGAAAAAATGAGGAACGAAGAGAAAATAGAGATGGATGGAAGTTTCGGTACAAGTAAACGAGAAATAGTGGAAGGAACGATACAGAAAAAAAGAAAAGAAGAAAAAAAAATAGGTTGTAAACCGTTGGAAAGTCCTGTTGGGTCAGTCGTCCAATGAGATCCCCTGTAAATAACACAAATGACTGTTCAGTATACTCCACAAAACCCGGAGTATCACGAACTCACCGACAATTCCAATTTTGTGTTGATTTTTCGAGACTTCTGGTTGAGACGGATAAACAAACAAAACATCAGTCACTGACAGTGATTTAATTAGGAGGAATCATTGACAGGATCGAACCTAGTCGCCACCTAGTGTCGAAAAAGGAAACTTGGCTCTAAATCATTCGCAGTTGGAAGTACATTAAGGCCGACATACAATGAAGAAGAATAAGGCGCAAATATTAAAAAAAGTGCAAAGGAATTAGAAACATGATCATTTTTTATGCATGACTGTAATTAATTGATACTCAGTGCTTCTTCCGTGTTTCAATTTGTTTTTTTGATACTTATGGTTTCAGTGATCAAAGTAATGGTCGATTGAAAAATTGCTAGTTCGACTTATATTTTTCGTAGAAAAGCTCGTATATTTTTCAATAAACAGATATGTTTTTTAATCACAAAAAAAAGCATTTCGGTATTACAAGATCATATTTTTGAAAAAACTTTCATTTTTAGAGCTATTTTTTGACGAGAACTTCTTTCCATTATCCGCTATAATAGAGACTGGATGAATATGCCATCGATCCAATTATTTCGAGCCGACCCCGACCATACATCCTTATAGGAAAACCTGAAACAGAGAATGCAAATTAATTTGTTTTTTAATGGATTTTAATTGATGACGGAGAGACTCACTTTGATGAATCATAGGAATGTTCATTTTGGTCGAAAAATGCTGCACCCAAAAATGCTGTAGAGTCCTTGCGAGAAAATCTGGAAAGAGTAACATATGAATTATAAAGTTGATATGTACTGATACAAATAGAGATATTGAAAGACGATAAATTCGAACACTCACCTCTTGAAATGGTTGAGGAGAAAAAAGAGAAGGGCGATGCCTAGGAGCAGGGAGAGACTTCGTAAACTTCATAAAATTTTCAATCATAATCTGAATCCGTTAGAAATCATTAAACTCATGAGAAACTATTTTCTTGTCAATTTCTCTCGAGACGAAGAATTTCACATGTTATTCAAACAAAATCTTTCTTCTCAAGAATAAATGACGAGGGAAACGTTAGAAATGAGCCGAATGAATATCTAGGCTCAACCTTTCAGATTAACTGATTCAGAAAACGTTTAGAAAAACTATGAAGTTCAACGACAAGCACGTTGATGTCCAAGATCATTAACGACTGTAATTGTGATAAATAATTGGACCACCACCGTTTCCACCTCGTGGTTCGACATCTCTCCTCTGGTGATATCTGTTTCTCCAGTATCTGGAGTAAGACAAGAGAAAGTTTCTATGCAGATTCATTCAACTCATGACAATGAGTGAGAAAATTTAAACATAGATGTGTGATCAGAAAAAGAATTCAGTAGTGAATTCGGGTGGAATCATTTTGACTTGACCATTAGTTTTAAAGAATAGCTTGGAAGTGAAGGGAGAGCGATATTCTAATTGGAAGTATCTTTGTAGAGAGAAATGAGAGTCAGAAGAAAGATTTTCATGAACAACTCGCTATTTGCATAGATCCAGCGATATCTATAGAAAATTAATTAAGAATAAACTGGACTTGAGTATTTTAAAATATTTTAATAATGAACAATTACATGAGCTCGCTCAACGAAAGAATTTCGAAAAGTTTATAATATCTCTGAACACACCTGGATACGGGGAAAATAAAAATGTATAGAAAAACTATAGCTTATAAAGAAAAATCGAATTAGCTATACAATTCAAGAAGGTATCTATCGAACTGATATGAAAAATTCTATTGATTTCTCGTCGATTCTACTGAACGATTCCAGCTTTTCTACGCGTGTCTTCAACAGAAATGTTCAATAGAGAATGTTTTCAAGAGTAAATCGATGAAATCGAACACTTTTATATAATTTATTCTATACATTCATTCCATACAAACATTTTCTATCGGAAACTCCTCGACTGTCATTGTCTAAGTTCCTTAGATTGAGATTTATAGTGCGATAGAGTGAGAAAAACTTGGATAATCGATGTCGAGGAACGCTGATAGAAACTATCTTGATAGAAAAAGTTGTATGGAATTATCTAATTCTCCTAATTTTCCCTAGAAAATAATTCTCATTGGACATTTCCTATGAAAAAGAAGCGCTGTAAACCTTTTAAATTCGTAGATGAAATCTACGAAATCTTCATGTGGCTAGGGGGACACTATTTTTTTAAATTGAAATTTGCAAACTCGTGTTGAATAGTCAGTAGAAACAAGAACGAAAAAAAATTCATAGAAAAACCTAGCGAATTTGCTTGAAATTCGATTTGATTTCTATCAAACTATCTATTAGTTATCTTCTGATTCTATTTGAAAATTCCGCAGCTAATCTGTCCGGTTTCCTTTTACTAGGAAAGTTCAATGGAAAATTGATTAAAATTTTCCATGTATTTTTATTTCAATTTTTTTTCTTCATGAAATGAGAAAAAAATGGGAGTGAAAACATCGAAAATTCATATCAGGAAATTCAATAAAGAATGTTTCTACAGAAGAAAGTGCATTTTGAGACAAAATATTACTAAAGTTTTCTATGGATATTTTACGTACAAAAAATTCGCTAAGTTTTTCTATGAGATTTTTTCATGTATGCAGTCCGTAGAGAATTGAATTGTGGGAACTTTCACGGCGTTACGTAGATCCAAGTTACGCCCAGCTCTATTTCTCCCACCATTCCTTCCAACTCCTGGATTGAATCTCCCGTTACCTCCATTACCTCTCCCGTTCCCTTCATGAATTCTCCCGTTCGCTTCATCGCCTCTCCCATTTCCCTGCCTGTGGCCTTGATTCCCTCCCCTGCCTGCAACGTTACCTCGTTCATTCTCCCTCTACCTTTCTCCGCCATCGTTCTCTCTGCCGCGATTATCCTGTCTTCAGTCTCTATGAGCCTGCATGCCACCACGGTCTCGTACATTCCCTCCTTGCCCATCGTTGCCTCTATCATTCTCTCTCTGCCCTCCTTGCTCATCATTGCCTCTTGGATTCTCTCCCTGGCCTTCATTCCCTCCAGCATTCAATTCATTGCCGCCAGCATTCCCTCCATTGCCTCCAGCATTCTCTCCATTGCCTCCAGCATTCCCTCCATTGCCACCAGCATTCCCTCCATTGTCTCCTTCATTCCCTCCTTGCCCTTCTTGCCCGTCATTCCCTCCCTCTCTGCCTCGTCGATGCTCATTCAACCTCAGGAGTAACTCTACTCGCTCTTGAAGATTTGCAATGATCCTCAGATACAGATCATCCCCCTGACCTGGACCTGGCTGGGCTGGAACCTGCTGAGCTTGATTACCGTCTTGCTCCATTTGCGGTGGTGGTGGTGGTGGTGGTGGAGGTGGTGGTGGTGGTGGTACTTCTGGTACGATTGGTACTTCTGGTACGATTGGTACTTCTGATACGATTGGTCCTTCTGGTATGATTGGTACTTGTGGTACGATTGGTGCTCCTGGTGCTCGGGGTGATCGTGGTGCTCGTGATGATCGTGGTGCTCGACCTGATCGTTGTTGCTGAGGTTCAGTGATTGGAAATTTAGGAAAACAAAAATTAGTCAATTCTATCTTTTTAGCATTATCAAATAGTTCTACGGAAATATGTCAGAATAGCTTTTTTTTAGACGCTTTTATTCCTCACACAAAATATCTTCTGAAAAAATCCAATAGAATTTTTTAGCGAATTCGGTAGAAAATTCTATTCGACTCGAATTCTATAGAGTTTCTATAGGATTTCTATTGTAATTCTACTGAAAAATTCTGCTTTGTGCTGATTCTATTGGATATTCTATAGGCAGAATTAAACAGATTTTCCATTTTTGTTGAAATTTTTCTATTAGAATTAATTTTCACAAATTTTCTAAGTTTTTTTCACTTAGATTCTGTAATGTAAGACGAAACCGAATCGGGCGGAAAAACTTAGAAAATTAGTTGAAAAATAATTCTTATAGAAAAATCTCAATGGAAAAATTATAACAGAAATTCAAAATCCATTGAATTTTGCCTGTAGGATATCTCATAAAATCAGCGCAACAAACAACCAGAATTTTTCAGTGAAATTTCAATAGGAATCCTACAGAAACTCTATTGAATTTATATAGAATTTCAATAAAATTTTCTATCGAATTTGCTAGAAAATTCTATCGGATTTTTTCATACGTTTTATTACCGAGGTTTTCGAACAGTGATGAACAATTTACATTCAGGGGAAGCGAATAGATTCTTACTTGAGTTTTATTCGGCCCAAAAAAATCGCAAGTTCAGAAAGTTAAAAATGGATAATCATTCTACTTTCAATAATAAAAAAAAAATATTTGTCTTAAAAGGTGAATCATTCCTACGAGACGGCATTTTCGGGGTGATTAATTTGATTTACGAAACATGATCTTTCTAAATCGCATGATTGCTATCTCATCATCATTATTATTCTATTTGTAAATCAAGTTATTCATTTCGATTATTGAATAGTTAGAACGAGAAACTAGTGCTCCTCATTTTCTATGAAACCACAATTTTCCGGGAGCCAAATACGTATGACTTCCTTCAATTGGTCAGCACTAGATTGTATTTTTTCTCTTGTAATTTTCAACTTGTCATTTTCTTGGTTGAAATAAGATGTATCGATTTGAAAAAATGTTGATGTTCATTCGGTGGAGGAACGAACGAGATGAATGCTAGGGATAGAACTTTGTCATTATTCATCTGACTAACAAGCAATTTCAGAGAACAAAACGAGGCTTCCATTCGAAAGCAAAAAAGTCAGGACTTTTCTGCATGTAATGAGAGATTTTTTTATTCAGAATAGATTATAAAACTTATTTTTTGATGAGTGATAATTTGTTCTATAAGAAATGGTAGATTATCCGATGAATTGAAATTCTTTCAAATAATTTTTATTGGTGTATTGAACGTGATTCATTCCCCTGGATGAATTTTTTATTTTTACACATCATTATTCCTGATGAATTGATTCCACAGATTCAACAGATCGTTTCATTCTACATCATAACCTTGAAATATTACGTGGACCGAACATGAATTCCAACCTCCACAGAGTAAAGGACGAAACGAAAAACTCGAAAAATTATAAATTAGATTGTTCCAAATTTTTTTATCGTGTACAAGAATTCATAAAAAGAACAATACTTACGGAATATTCGCCAATGTTGAGATCGTTGGAAGTGTCGTTGTGTTCTCTCGCCATCGGGCCAAAAACAGCTGATAAATATTGTCCATCGGTCACTGTTCTCAAGGCGCCTGCGCACGCGTGCGTATCGTAACTGAACAAAATCACTGGGGCCAACTTTTCGAGCACTACTGCCAACTTGAAAAAATGATTCTGGCACTCGAGATAATCGAAATCCTGAAAAATGGGAATAGAAATATCGCAATGCTCGTATCTTCTTCTAGATATGTCGAAAACAAAAAGTAATTGCGGAATCGAGAAGGCCATGTGCGATTTATACAGTGAAACTGCTGTTAATTTTCACATATTTTGCTGCGATCAGATGTTATTGAGGAATTCTTATTGGGTGGTAGTGGGGGGGGGGGGGGGGNGGGGGGTAGTTGCGTCGCGTATAGATACCCGCTAACGCTCGGCCTATTTCGTCGTCGAGTCGAAGTGTTTTCGAAAAAGTTACTTGGCCGATACGCTACCGCGTATCTCGATGTCTATGGGCCAAACAGAGGCTGGCGCGACCTGGCGGACCCCTGAAATCATGTGAAGCAGCATGTAGTTCACATTGGTTCCGATGGTGGCGGTAGTAGTCACTCGCGTGGTAAAACAAATTATTAGCATTGTGAAATTCATCGTACTGAGAATTCCAATCCCGGTCAGTGCAATAATGTGATAATTATATTAATTCCTTAACAAATATATGTAAATACCCTTGAATTAGATGGGTGACTTGATTTTTACAGATTTTTTCGTCGAGCTTAAAATTATATTTAAAATAGAAATACAGGGTGTTTCAGAAGTACATGTACATCTGAACACCCTAGGATCAGGGGGTGATTCTGAGCAGAAAAGTCCTCTTGCACTTTTTGATCAGACTCACCCCTAAAAAGTTATTGGCAATTAAGGGTGGGCCAATGGGGAGTGATTTTTAAGCGGGCGCACATCCATGTGATATGCAGCATATGTGTGTGTGCCCGCCCCACCATTCTACGAGACAAAAGAGCGCAACGATATTGCTCTCTCTCTCTCTCTC